CACACCACAACCACCTTCTTTTGTGGCACTTGCTTTCATTCGTTTCAATGGGCAGTCACACTCCATCCGCCAGCATTGTGGATTGTGGTTGTTCTGTTCTTTGTGGGCATTCAGGGATGTAGGTGGAAATCGCTTCGATGGAACCATTCCAACTGCTATCGGCGGTCTGTCCAGCTTGATAAGCTTGTAAGTGTCATCACAACTGTTATCACAGAAATTTCTGGCCATCCCTGTCAGCTATCACTGACAGCAACTGTTGGCCTTTAACCTGTCCACTTCGTTGAATTTTATTTCCACTGACAGCAACTGCTGGCGTTTGTTTGTTTGTTTGTTTGTTTTTTTGTTGTTCTTCTTTTCTTGTTTCGTCTTCCTTCCAGTGCCCTTGCCTCCTTTGTTCTCTCCCTTCACCTCCTGTGTGTCTCCTTTGTCGAATTAATATACTCTGTCCTCCCTCTCGTTCTTCACCCCCATCTGTTGTCTGGTCCTTCTATCTTATACTGACTACATGCGTGTCTTCTTTCTGTCCCTTTTCTGGTCTTAACTTTTCTCCTTCCATTTGTCTCCTTTTGATAGCCAGCTCGATTCCCCCTTGGCTTTGTCCAGTCTTCTCAGTTATTTTCAGCTTTCCCGCTTTGGTTTTCCTGGTGGTTTGCATCTTCCTTTTGATTCATCTGCCAAAACTTTCCACAATTGTCCTTCCCTCGATACCTCTTGCTCTCCTACTGTAACCTGGTAACTGCAGGAAAGTGGCTGGCAACATGTTCACTGGAAGTATCCCTCAGATCTATAAACCCACTGAATTGAGAACCTTGTAATGCCTTCCCCTTGGTTGCTTTGCTGCTTGCATCGTTAACAAATCAGTGGCAACCCACATTCAGTCAGTACCAAGGTCATCTCAAGGGCTGAAAAACGCACATGCAATATGAAATGTTCTTTACGTGAATGTCCATGCCTTTTCACTCCATGAATATGATTTCCTGGGCTTTTTTTGCCTTGCCCCCTACTTGTGATTTTTCTCAGAGATTTCAGCAACAATAAATTCAGTGGCTCGATTCCTTCTGACATTGCACCGCGATCGCTCACCACCCTGACTTATTTGTGAGGCATTCACCTCATTTTTATTGTTGTTGCTTTCTCTTCCCACCTGGACCTCTGTTACCAGCTTGAACCTTGAGGCACGAGCCAGGTGAAGAAATGAAGTAACCCTTTTCCGTTGAACACAGGCTGCTTCTATGGTCCGGCTTTACTACGGTAGCTTAATGTGGAATACTGCCACTATTTCTGTTGCACGTTTTGGTCATGAAACAAGAAGCCAATTTTTCAGATATATTCTGAATCTGGGCTACAAAGGCAGCATGCAAGAGAGGGCTATTTAATGTGTCTCATTATTTGGTTGCTAGGCATGAGCACGGGCCAATCTGGGCCCGCCCCATGCTGACCAAGCAATCCTCCGGTGCAGGTTTGGCCTAAAGTTATCCGGGCCGAAAAACGTTTAAGCAAAATATTTAGCCTGCCCCGGGCTTATCTGAGTTCGGCCCGGGTTCATTTCGTTATAGTCACAACGATTTTTCCCTTTTCCCGTCCTCTCATCCGCCCCCTCCATTCCTTGGCGCCATGATGTGCGGACATTAAAAGAACCCTCACAAGTCGGTAGGTCAATCAGCGATTCCCAGCAGCCCTCCCACAACCACGCCCACCACAACATGTGTCAAGCTGTTTTCTTTGGCGCCACGTGAGAAACCCAAGTTGTGCAAACCCTAAAAAGTAGTGCGTGTGCGGCTAGGTTGGTGGACGAGCGATCCTCTCCCCAACCCTTAAAACGGAATGGTTACAATCCCCACACCAGAGCTTCTTTAAGGTAAAAACATAAAAGTGACCAACTTGGGAGATGAAGTAGGATGAGTGTAGGCTAGGATCAATGTGGCTTAAATAGACCTGGAAGTCAATTGTTGCCTGGGTCCAACACGACCCATTGAATGTTATGCTCGAGGTAGTCTTCCTTAAACCGGGATAGGCTCCTACACACCTGGCACCTAGCCAAGCCGACCCAACACGATTCGATTCGAGATGAATCATGATAAGCTTGTGACTCTTCCATACTCGCTTATCTCGAGTACCCCTGGATCGCAAGCCATCACTATTTCTGGACACGAGACTTCACAGTGTTGCGTTTTTTACCAAGGAATTAGCCCAGTGCTTGGCAGATGATTGACTCATTAGTTCCATTCCATGTGACGTGTCTTCATTTGGGTCGACACTATTTGGCCTCTACTGCTTGCCTTGTACCCTTCAGGGATCTTTCACGCAACCAGCTTTTCGGCACCATTCCTGCGAGTCTCGGTGCTTTTTCCAAAGTAACTAAACTGTGAGTTGCACATACATGAAGTACCTCCCCAACCCATCTAGTTTCTTTCCCCTTGTGAGTTTTTACTGCAATTTTGTTCCTCTCATTGGCTTCCACGACTTACACATTGCAATACATTTAAACGCCCACTGACCTGCTCTACCCGAACTGTTGTGTAACTCAAAGGACAATGCGCTTGACTCGAGTCAAGGGCTCCCTTGAAGTCTCGAGTAGAAAAGAACCTAACCCCAGCTCGAATCATTTGACCCTGGCTCGGTTTATCCCTACACCCAGGTAGTTTCGGCCGCGTCGGGCTACGGCGTGGCCCGGGTCAATTCATCTTGGACTTTTGGTCGTCGACCAAAAGCAAACATTTTGGGCTTTGGCGGGCAAAACCCGGTTTGGCCCGACCTAAGCCAAAAGCCCAAATTGGTAGTCCAGGGCAGAGACCGTGCCGGTTCGGCCCAGGCCGACCCATGTTCATTCTTCTGCTCATGCGTGCTGGCCACCCTGGGTCAACAACTTGATGATAACATTTAATTCCTCTTCTTCCTTCTTTGCTTCCTCTCCCTGCTCCTCCTCCTCGTCCTCGTCCTGCCGCCACCCGCCTCCTCCCACCCCTTCCTTCCCTCCTATTTGCTGAATCTCGTTTCCTGACAACTACCTCATTCATGTTTTCCCTCTGCCATTACCCACCACACATATCTCCCTCCCCTTCCTCCTCACTTCCAGTGATGCCTCTTCCAACTACCTGTCGGGCCCCGTTCAGGATCTTCCTTGGACCAGAATGGATCTTTCAAGCAACTACTTGACAGGTTCTTTAAATACATCAGCCTGCCTTGACCGCCGACTTGCTGGCAACTGCTTCACACAGCCCAACTGTTCCGTCCAGCAGCAGCGGGTTGCAGCAGAGTGCACAGCCTTTTGTGACGTCACTGGTGCTATGGGTGCCTGTAATGGTCATGGCCTTTGCTATCCAGACGGACCCAGCCTGGTGCCAACATGCGTGTGTGAAGTGGGATACATCCGCTTTGGGAGGATCAACTGCTTTGCAGAAGGTATGGGTTTCGTGCGGTTTTTTTTCTTGCCGAAACATTTTCCACATATAGCATAGCAGAGGCACACATCCACGCGGTCAGCACTTCGTTCATGTTAAACATTGATAACCCAATTTCCTCCAGGCACCACACGTCTACCAGCTAGTAAGCATGAACATGCCTCGAACCCGAACATTGTTGAACCGGCTGGGTGGTCGAGCTGAAGCCTATCCTCTTCAGATTATACATGGTCAAACGAGGCGAGTTTTTACTCGAGTCGTTTTGGGTGCTTGAAAAACACGAGTTTCGGGTTCTGTTTTTGTAAAAAAAAAAAACTCGACTACATGAGTCGAGTTTTACTCAAGAGTTAAACAAAAAAACTCTTGAAATTTTCAAATAGGTAGGGGGATTTTTTCCGCGATTTTTTTTCACTCGGGAGTTTTATAAACCTTAGACAAGTTTTTTAATCTTGCGCGTCAAATGGAACACCAGAGGGGGGGTACAAATGGGTTAGTGTCCTGCTAAAGATGTGACTCACTGTTTTGGAAGCGTTCCACCACTTAGTTGCAAACACCAGTGCAGGTGGCGTGGCGGTGAGTAGCTTGGCTGGAAAGTGATAGGGGGGGGAAGAGGCGGTGCTGGCTGGTATGTTTGTGGGTGTTGACGCATGGGGCAATTTTCAGGGCACCCTAAGACTGTTTTCGTGTGGCTGGGGGTGGTAACTGGGGTAGAGTTCAATCTCGAGTCGAGATATACTTGACTTGAACAAGTTGTTTTTAGGCTCTTCCTAGTTTGTTTTCAACTAGACTTTGGGGCCGAGTTTTGAGTCAGCACTTTGGCAAAAAAAAAAAACTCGACGAGGGAGAATCGACTCGACTCGTCAGTAAGAAAAAACTCGACTCGCCATTTGCCCAGGTATAGTTCAGATCCAACCAGTTGGTGATCCACCAGTACTTGGCCCGACTGTTTTGATCAAACCGCCACTGCCATTGTCAGCTCATGCCTATATCATAGCCTATGCCTATGCTGCTGCTTTTCTTGGTTCTTGAAAGATAGATAGAACAGTTACAGAAAAACAATCACAGCATACTCGCAGTTCAATCATCACACAATCCATTTTCATGAACTGCTCCGCTGCTCCATCAAGTTCTTGCACCCATCTTTGGACTATATGGTGTCCCATTGACCTGTCCACCAATTCATTGCCTCATAATTAAGTTTTGCTATCACCACCCAACACCTTTTCAGGTTGGGAACAGATCTTCTCAACAACCAGTCCAATTCTTCCCCCGTTAACCGTACTTACGAAGGGGACACGGCGGGAGACAGCAGGGAAGTTCATGGCAAAGCCAGTGACACTGTTTGCATACCCGGGTAGTTTAGACACGATATGCGGTGCGGAGCTGGCTTTCAATGTCAACTTCACATTCGCCCTTCTTCCCCAGCGTGGTTCTGTGGCTTCCAACGGCTTTGCGTTTGTGATTGCCGCAAAGGGCAGGCTGGGAAGACCTGATGGTGTAGGGTATGGTGGAATAGGAGCGCGGAGTGTAGCCATTGAATTCGACACGCTATGGAATCCCAAGCACAGTGATCAGAAATTGCAGCATGTGGGGCTAAACATGAAAGGCTTGGATAAATCCTTGGTCGCAGTAGAGTCGCCATTCACTCTCAACAGCGGCGATGCGTACACGGCATGGGTGGACTACGACCCTTCACTTCGTGGCACGGTCAAGGTGTTTCTAGCCGACTCCAAAGTGAAGCCAGGTGTGCCGCTACTGCAGAGTCAGCTGTCGCTGTGTACGGTGCTGCAGCCTAGTGTGCAGCAGTCGGCGTTCTTCTTTGGCTTTGTGGCATCCACCACTGTGAAGCCCTTTCAGAGGCATGCAATTTTGAAGTCTGGCGTCAGTGCAGGCAAGTATTTACTGGTTGGGGTAGTGATGATGGTGATGAGTGTCCAAATGATGAGAGAAGTTAAAAATGTTGATGGGAATTGCTGTCTGAATGACAAGGTCAACTAAGTTCGAGGAGTAATGGTGTTAGTATTACAGCGATAGCGGCAACGAGAAGGGCAGAAGTGCCAACCAAAAATGGTGTGCCAATGTTGTGGGAACTGGCAAGAGAACTCGTTTGGTTCATGGTGGTTCAGGCCCGAGCCGGTTTGTAAGCTGCAGATCGGGTTGCTGCACAGGGTCTGAGGGTTCTGAGCCTTTGAAGACCTCCTTCGGTGCATTAAGAAGCAACAATTCTGAGTCTAAATCAAATCCTCGCCTTAGGCTTTTTAGCAGCTTTACCTAGTCTTGTCCTATGATTGAGCATCACAATGCATTCTCAGGCAGCTGAACCTGCCATATTGTTGTTATGTTCGAGGCGAGGCCATAGTGGGAGGAAGGGGAGAGAGAGAGGTAGACGGGTATTTGTGGGTGTGTCTTACTATTCTCGTTAACCAAGGCCAGACGCGTTGAGGTGGCTTGATTCTTGAGGTTGCGAGCTGGGCTCGCTCTCAGCCGCCGTGTCTCGGATTGAAGTAGCAACAAGGTTACTCCGACCTGTGATAAGTCTCGTGATGAGCCTGCTAATCTTGTGGCGAGCCTTAATTGGCCTATTTAGGGCGAATATATTGTGCATCTTGTGGCGAGCCTTCATCATCTCCCGCATGGAGATGATGAAGAATCGTGGTTGATGGTTAGAGCGAGCTTGCATCTTCCAGCCACTCATGGGGTAGTTTCCCTATGTTTTTCCCAGCCATCCTTTTAAGGCTGCACTTAAGTTTTTTCCATTTGTGCCTATTTACAGGTGTGCTTCCATCCAAGCTGGTCCGGAGTACAACTCAAGGTGAGATTTATGTCATGTGCCATCATTGGAGATAATCAATGGCAACGTCTGGGATAAACCAGGAAATGCCCCCCCCCCCCCCCCCCCCCCCCCCCCCCCCCCCCCCCAAAAAGTTTAGAATGATGATTTCGATAACACGGTTTGGCTCCCCTACAAATATGTCGGGTGCACAGAATCAAGTGAAAATGGTTGGAACGTATAACCAAAATGGATCTGTGTGTTAAGAGCAATAAAACTGTTCTTCGCATGCCATGTGTGCTTGACAATCACTCCCACACTTCTTTCTGTTCTTCACAGCCGTTGGCCTCGAATTAGCGCCGGGCGCATTTGCACCACCCGGAGCCACCCCTTTCTTCCGCTATGTGAGCACGGACTACGAGTTGGCAACCACCAACGATGACTCTTGGCGCATCCGTGACTTCCATACCTGGGACTCGCTGGCCTTCCTTGGCTGGCCTGTGAAGGATCAGATGGCTTGCAGTGAGTGGCAAGAGTGTGGGAATCTGAAGGATGCCTCTGGAGAAATTCAGTTTCAGGTCAAAAATACACTGTTATTCCAGCTTGCATGGTCTACGTCTTGTTGGGATCCTGCCTAGCATCAGATTGCAATTTCAATCTCAACTGATGCTGGTTAACGGTTCTTATCTTCAGTTGTATGCAACGCTGCAAGAGGATTCCACTGCGAGCGCCTCCAATTGTCAAAGTTTTCACCCTCACCTCTCAGGTGCATGCTGGGCGTATGCGGTGGTGGCGAGTGTGGAGGCAGCATATGGCATTGCAACGAATCAGATCGCTCCTCAGCTGTCAGTGGAGCCACTCTTTGCAGCCATGGGGCTCACCGATACAAAGTGCACTGCTGGAGGCTCCCCCACTGCGGCTTTTGAGAAGCTTGTGACTCTTGATGGCAGCAGTGGACTCAGAGGAGGCAGTAACCAGGTAAGGCAGCCATAATGAGGTTTTTGTGATTGAAGTGAGGTTGAGACGAGAGGGGCTTAATCATGCGCATTTGAAAGGTCTCCAAACTGGTGGTTAGAGCCTTTAAACAACCCAGTTCTTATTCTGATAAATACTTGGCATGCTGTTTGGTGGGTGATGCATTGATCCGTATCCTGCTGTACGTGGCTTATGTGTTTTCTTTTACCCAAAAAATATGCATGGCAGGGTGTATTGTTGCCAAATCCTCTAGCAAACTCCAGTCCCGTCTCTTTTGATTAAATTCCTTCAGTTTGTTTTCCTGTTCCTAGGCAACACCATATCCGGTGCATGCATTTGAGCGGGCGTACTTCAAAGGGTATGAGGGTCTCATGCTGGCAGTGCGGCGCCAGCCAGTGGTGGTTCACATCGAGGCCTTAGCTGACACGTTCATCATCTATGATGGGGTGAGTCATTGCAGCATTCATTGCTCATATCGTGTATTGCACTCTCGTAGGACGACACGTACATTCATAATCACACATTGCACAGCATTCTGGAAAGCCTTTGGTTCTAGCATTGTCTTCTCATGTACTCTCTAGTTATACTCTCTGTTTACCTGTATGCATGTCCTCTCCCCTTTCTGTCTTGTGGTGCACTCCTTTAGGAGAATGACATGTACATTCACAATTACACATTGCGCAGCATCATGGGGAACCTGTGGTTCCAGCATAGCTGCCTCTACATGTCCTCTGTATTTACAATTGATGTATGTCCTCTCCCCTTTCTGCGTCAGACATTCAAGTACCAAGATCCTGCTTGCTACACTGGCAGTCTGAACCATGTTGTACTCGTCATTGGCTACTTCATTAATAGAGATGACGGCAGCCAGGGACGCATTGCTCCTCCGTTTTGGATCATCCGCAACTCGTGGGGAGTTGATTGGGGCGACCGTGGCCACATGCGCATGGGCATTATGGGAGGGGATGGCGTGTGCGGCATCAACGTATTGCCTGGCATCTACCCTGTTGTCAAGAGTGAGGCACCTACCCCATTGCCTGGTCTAAGTGTACCCCGTTATCATATGTGGTGGTGCACCTTAAACCAGCTTCAAGTGCAATGTCCGGTGTGGCACATTTTCAACCAATGGCAAGAGTAAGGCATCTGTCCCATTATTAAGAAGCGTCTATCCCACTGTCAAGAGTTGGCCACCTACCCTTCTACCAAATGAAATCAGCAGTGCAAGCAAGGGAATGAGGGGCAGTTGGGTGTTGTGCCCCATGTTTCTTTTGCCTAGTTCATCCTCAAGTCTGTTTTTAAGAATCGAGTTTCCTTCTTTCTTACCTACCTAGCAGTTGCAAATGTTGAGTGTCAATGCGAAGGGATGGCATGAAGGGGACCTGGAATGACCAACCCCCCGTGAGGCTGCTGAAGTAGCCACGGCATCGGAATTACAGTGTGAGAGTATTCTGGAGCGTTCGAGTTCGGAAGGAAGTGCATTGAAACAGAAACCGAGGAAATGTATCGGTAACCGCTTTTGCAGATTATGTTTAACATTCGAGATTGTGGAACCGGTTCCTTTTAAATCTGACTCATGAAGGTCAGTCTTGTCACCAGTGCTCGTTCAGGTTGGTGGCAAGCTTGGAACAGCACAAGCACTTAGCGGTGCTTACACTTTTTCATCTTACACAGTTGCAGAGTTACTTGCAATTTTTTTGGTCATACACTTGTCCACCTTACATATTAAGCATTTCATTGTAACTCTTTGCCACCTTTCAGTTCCAGGGGACCCCTGCAGGAAACAAAGCTACAAAGGCGACCAGGATTTATACGGCATGAACCCCTGTGGCCGGTTCCCGTGTCAAGAGACCAACGGAGGCCACAGCTGCAGCTGCAATATTTCTCCATTTCCTCAAGCTATGAGGCAACCTTTTGTTGAGGTTGATAATGGATACGGCTCCAAAACATGTGCTTACGGTAAGATATGGTTGTGCCAGAGTAAGTTTCCATGCCTGCGGCAAAAAGGAAGGTCCTATTAGGTCTTCGTGGCACACGCCTAGCTGGCTGAGCAGAGGCAGACTATTAAATCCCTTGTCCAGGTAGAGCAGGGAGGTTTTGCCACAGGAGAGGAAGCAGCGTCCTTAGCAAGATGTCCTGCCATGAGGCAATGTTGGAGCCATGGTCAGTGTTGTTAATGGCATTAGCTATGTCTGCCTGGGGATGAGGATATCTGGGTAAGTGCTTGTGTATGAGCACCTGCTGTGCTCGTGAGGATGGCACCTGCTGTGCTCGTGAGGTTGGCACCTGCTGTGCTCGTGAGGTTGGCACCTGCTGTGCTCGTGAGGTTGGCACCTGCTGTGCTCGTGAGGCTGGCACCTGCTGTGCTCGTGAGGTTGGCACCTGCTGTGCTCGTGAGGTTGGCACCTGCTGTGCTGGTGAGGTTGGCACCTGCTGTGCTCGTGAGGTTGGCACCTGCTGTGCTCGTGAGGTTGGCACCTGCTGTGCTCGTGAGGGCGGTTTGAATGTCATGCCTGATGGCCCCATTCTCGCACCTGCAGAGCATCTTCGCGAAGGCTGTAACATATATGCATCAACAGGGGGTCCTGGATCCGCGACCGGCCATGTTATAGGTGCACAATTCGCAGCTGGGTGGTTTGCTTGGATTGGAGCGCTCTCATTGGTGCTGTTTGGCTCAATCTTCCCCACTTTTCCCCACTCTCCAACGTGCACTAACTGTGGCAGTGGACGTGTGCGGGTCGTACTTCAAGAACCCCTGCTACGTGGGCACATGCATCAACGATCTCAAGGGCTCCTACTCCTGCATCTGCCCTCCCAACCACATTGAAAGAGCTACAAATTACGGCTTCCCAACCTGTGATCCAGGTGATGCTTCAACCTTCTTGGCTTTCATTCTTTCAGGTTGTCCTGTTAGGATTGTCCAGCATATCAAGGCTGTAATGGGCTAATTTCTCCCAAACCACGCTTTCCCTTTCTTTTTTTCCTTGGTGCCTCTGCCTCGTTGTACTCGCTCTCTACAGCGGATACCACTGCCACCAGCATGACGGTTAGTGGAGACAACTGGCAATGTTCGGATGTTTATCCGAGTGTTGGCATCTCCATGAACAACTTCTTTTCTAACAATCCGGTGAGAAAAAAATCTATAATCGTGATGATTGTGCTGGACACAACAATCCGTGTGTTTTTAGTTGTCCTCGTCAGCTGTGTAGTGTACGCAATTTTTTCACCCGTAGCATCGCGAATGCTCTGCATTGGTGAGCAACGCATATGAATAGACCCCTGCACTCACTCCGTCAATTTTTTGTGCGCACGTTTCGCAAAGCAGGGGATAAACTGCAGCCAGCCATTGGACAAAGGCACTATTCTTCAGCTTGCTGGTACTCCTGGCACACCTTGCACTGCCTTCTTTTACACGATCAAGGTGTGATCAGTTTGTCTCTTGATATTATCTCACCATGCTCTTAACAAACCTGTCTAGCCAAATGAGCACTGTTCCGTGCATCCCCGAGTAACTCATGCCATGTGCACTGTTCCGTGCATTTTTCAATCCTACAGGGTGACACTTGCTCATCGATCAGCTCGCAACTGGGTGGAATCAATCTGGACATTCTCAACCCCGGCCTTGATTGTTCGTCCAACAACCTAAAGGCGGGTCTGTCGATCTGCATCGAGCGCAGTGCTGATTTCGCCTACAACGTCTTCGAGTGTTCGAGATACGGCACGCTGACTTCTCAAGACACGTGCCAGGTGCTGTTTCAAAGGGCCGCCAAGGAGTCGGGAAGCACCTGGGCTGATCTGTACCGCAGAAATCCTGGCCTCACTTGCTCCAGAACCATCCCTAGCGGGACTGAATTGCAGGTAAGGGTTGAGAGGTGGGGCCTTCTCTTTTGCCGAAATGGATCAAAGGTAGGGGGAGGAGGGGGAGTGGTGGGCCTGTGCAGAGAGAGGGATGGAGGGAGAGAAGGGAGTGCAAATGGGTGGAAAAAGGTGATCGATGGTTCCCGTGCCTAATAAAACTCGATGACCTCTTTTTTTTAATATATAATTGCACTCTCTTACATGTCGCATATGCTTATACAAGGATGAATGCGCTTACATGCACTATTCGATTGTAAGCGCACCCTCGTTCAGCATCCTTGCTCGCTTCAGAAACAGGCTGAATTTCCTGATCTATGCTAAAAAAACAGTCCTTAAGGTTGTCCGATGCGGTCATTTGTTGTTTTTTTTTTTCTTTTTCTTTAATGTCGCATTCAAGCAATTCCATTCTGTCAAACCATGGAATTTTGACCTCATCAGCTTGATTTCTTTTTTTTTTTTAATATGCCATGTTACACCTATCAATGTCTTTCTTTTTGTGCCAGGTTTGTGAAAGGGCAGAGTATTGGTCATTCACTAAAGGCCAGTGCCTTATTGGTACTAAGACAAAAGTGTCGCCGGGCATGTCGTGTTCCATTGCAATTTCAAGGTACTACGTAGATAAAGAGCAGTTTAAAGATTATAATTCCAAGTATTGTGTTGGTAAGGTAGGCAATGGTATGATCTGTGTGCCATAAGGTTTTAGTAGATATGCAGGGATTATTCAGCCATCAACATTCTGCTTGTGCTTTGACACAATTGTCATGTCATTTATAGCTCCTGTGCTTTAGACTTTGCTTCGTACCGTAATACCTCGGATATAAGACCCGAGGGTATTATAAGAATCCCACCCCAAAAATGGTCGGGGGGGGGGGGGGAGGTCGGGGGGTCTTAACAGCTGGTTACATTCTATAAAATCCGGGTCATATCATGAGGTCATGTATATTGCTTGTGTTTTGTTAACCATAATGTCTTGTGCTTCGTCCTTAGCATTCAAAGTGAACACGCGGAATTAACTTCTTTGTTAACATTCAAATGAGTACGTGGAGTGGACAGGATGATGAATAGATGTGCTTTTGTGATTGGCTGTTGCCCTCGTTAATGAACATTTTATGGGATTTGGTGTGGAAAAGGGTAGAGTAGCTATCAGATTTGCATTCATTGCCTATACAATGACCGATTCTCTAGGGGGAGGGGGGTCATATAATGTTAGTCCCCAATTAGGGGGGATAACTACAAACAACCTATTTAGCGTACCCCCCTCCGTATTAAAGACCCGGGGGTCTACAAATGGAGGGGGTCTGATATCCTAGGTATTACGGTAAATCCTTGAAACTTTGATGTGTGCGTGCCTTTCAAACATACTTTTAACCCTTGCCACTTGTTGGGAACAACAAGTCTTAAGCGCCTCTGTCGTGTCAAAACACCAAGTCAGAAGCGAAGCGAACCATATCGAAGCATTGGCGAGACAACCCTCAGAGGTTAGGGTAACCGCCTGGAGGTTACGCGAAGGTCAAAGGTCAGCGACCTTTGACTTGACCAATACAGCGCGACAGCAAGGACACACAACTGACTCGACATTGAGCAGTTGCCCGAGTCGCACTGTATCGAATCGCAACAGCAAGGTAGTTAATTATATCTATTCGTATTCCTTGTACTCTTATATAAAGCTTTGTATCTGCCTGTTTTAATCAACTTACTTTGCCCTCACATACTAGCGCAAGGTGGTTCAAGATCTTTATTCAACGCTTCCGCTATTACAATCCTACTCAGACTTTAACTCTACAAAGATCCTAGGGCTTCTCAGCCCAACATGGTATGAGAGTGGTTAGAGTTAAAACTTATTATTCAGCAATCCTTACATCAAAGAAGACATGTCAACCAGAAAGGAGAGGAGCTCCTCCAACGGCTCTCCCGGTACTTCTCCTACCCCACCACCTGTCTGTGGCCTACAGACAGAGGAAGGGACTACCACCAGACCAGCAGCCGGGTCCACGGAAACGCCAGCAGGCTTCGATCCAAGCATGATGGAGAAGTTCTTCTCCTTCATGTCCTTCTACGAGCAACACCAGCAAGGAGTACCTGCGCAGTCAAACAACAGCAACAACAACAACGTGACTCCTATGAGTCTCGACGGCTCATCCTACGCACGCGGGATTCAACAACAACAGCAGCCTACCTTTGCGCCGTACGAACCCCAGCGTGGCTCCGTCAGTTTCATGCCGCAACCGCAATCTGCACCGGAACAAGAAAGGGCATTGAACGCATTACAAGTTCAATCGCAATTCGCGCACGTTCTCAAGCTGCAAACAACAAAGCCTTTCAACGGGAAAGACTTCTTCACCTGGTCGTTCGAGTTCGAACTGATGATGGAAGGAGCACAGATTCTCGGCTTCTTCGACGGGTCCCTGCCATATCCGACAAACGGGACACAATATGAGAAGCAGCAGTACACCTATCAATCAATGATGGCGTACACGATACTGCTAAGAAACATCACCCCGACCCAGCAGCAGAACATCAAGACTTACCGAGGCTACGGCAACTCCGCGGAGCTCGCGTACAACCACCTGAAGAACCTGTATCAAGCAACAGACAGCGTAAATCAAAGCAGGTTAATCAGCTGACAACGATTGAAATGAAACCAGGCGAGAAAGGCATGGCTTATATCAGCCGCTGCCGCGAATTGCGCGACAAACTTCTTCGATGCGGAGGGTCAATTTCAGAAGACGCCTTTGTCACGGTGGTCATTGGCGGTCTCGGCCCCCACTGGCGCTCCACTCGCGCCACTCGCTCCACTGGAGCACACGGGAGGATCTCCGAAGCGGCACTCTGCGCCGAAATCCACGCCGAACAGCAGGACATGGACCTGCAAGAAGAAAGACACAAGAAGAAAACATTAGCACTAGAGTTTGCGTTTCACACTCAGCGACGATACAACGGCAACAACAATCGACAACAGCAACAAGTGAAGACGGTACCTCCGTTTTGTCACATGTGCAAGACCTCGGGTCATCCTCGCACGCACTGCCCGTCTCGTCAGCAGTCGACAACACCACAGCGACAACTCCGGCCTTCAAGCTCCCAAATTGCCTCAACGCAAACAAATCCGACGACCACAATCCAGGCTTCAACGACTTCAACTGGACAACCTGCACAAGGAGCAAGAAATATTGTCAATTGCATGGTCAAGATAAACGACTCCTGCACAACAAAGTCACCACCGTACTACTCACCCGAAGAACAACTTGACAACAGCATGCCTCGCCGCGAATCTCTTCAACCGAACCCAACGTACGCCGCCATCGCTCAAAGTGAACCGTCCGGCCAAGACACTTGGTTCTTGGACAGTTGCTGCGGACAACATATGTGCTCCTCCGGGCGCTTCGTTCAACGCGAGCATCGACTCCAGCGAGAAGTGGTCATTACCGTCGCCAACAATCAGAACCTGCGCACACGACGACAAGGAGTGGTACAGCTTCAGTCACGAGAGACAAACGTCATATTACACATGTCAAAGGTACTTATCGCGGAGGGACTCGGCTACAACTTACTGAGTGTCAGCCAGCTGATGGCGAAAGGTTTTCACTTGGAAGCCGACAGCACCACCCAAGAGTTTAAGTTGTACCACGGGAAGGGCGGCCTCTACATCGGAAAGGGGGTGTTGAAGAACAACGTCTTCGTCCTCGACTTTGTCCCCGACCTGGGCACTGCCAACAGCGACGCCATCGTCAACTTCGCCGATTGGACGCATCCCCCGGATCTCGATCCCGACTTCAGCCCGGGAGGTTTCTGGTACTCACACACCATTCCTGAAGCAGAACGAACACGAGCGTTAGCAACAATTCGACAATCGGCAGCAGCAGAAACAACATCGGCAGCAGCAGAAACAACATCGGCAGCAGCAGAAACAACATCGGCAGCAGCAGAGACAACATCGGCAGCAGCAGAAACAACATCGGCAGCAGCAGAGACAACATCGGCAGCAGCAGAAACAACAACGGCAGCAGCAAAAACATCATCGGCAGCAGCAGGACCAACTACACCAGTCATCGTCGACGAAGCACCACCAGCACCAGCACAGCAACTGAACCTGACTCAACGAGCAATCCACAGAAGCGCCAACCTCGTCGCCAGCTTCTACTCCAACTCCGACGCGTATCAACGCTCACCCGGACATCGCGCCTCCGAAGAAACCTGGCACGCACGATTGGGACATCCAAGCAACACAGTTTTAAACAACACGATAAGAGCAGGAGTTCTCGACAAAGACTCCCTACTACTACCCGACGGCAGAGAACTTCAAAGGGCACGAGGGACTTGCCTTACATGCCCTGAAGCTGACTTACCTCATCGACCGTTCGCTCCTCATCACAACCCGAGCGCACCGGCGTATGCACCACTCGAAAAGGTGTACAGCGACATCCTCTACAATCGCGAACCAGGACAAGTCACCTACAACTACACAATTACCTTCATCGACGCCACCACTCGATATGTCTGGCATCTAAACCTACCAAGCCGCGACATGGCACTCGCAGCGTTCGCCGCCTGGCTACCGGTAGC